CTCTACAATACTGTGATCACTGATATCATTATAGTTCAAAAGCTTATAATTACTGTTATTTATACTACAACATATGTAACAACCAGGAAGATGAATATAAATAAATGCTTACTATTTCAAATCAATCCAAAAAAGCATTGAAGAAAATACTCATTTGCATAGTTTTAACATTTTGTACATAGTGTAAATACATTTATCTTAAAACACAAGCACTGTCAACTATCATACTGAAGATTGTTCGAAACACTCATAAAATAACTTTTGTAGTAAATATATATTCTGATCTTGTTGATTTTGATAAAAATATACGTTCCGAAGATATGTCTTTTGTAAATTAACGTACTGAAGATGACATCATTCAATCACCATATATGTATTAGTAATTATTGAAACAGTTCTTGTTATCGAATAGATTTGAAATATCATATTATCACTGTTGCACTACAACTCTGTGTTGACTGTCATTAATAGTATCGTACATAAACTTGCAAAGAAAACAAAAGATTGTCATAGATTTCACCGTCTCATAAATAATATTCTACAGAGCATCACTAATTCACCATCCAAACTACCAACGCTCAAAATCTTCCTTAATCCTATATCAAATATATCATGCATCAGAAACCGAACTACATACTTTCTCGATCAATTTTCAAAAGAAGCCTTAAACAAGTTGCTTAGTTTTCGAACAGTTTCTGATTTTCTCAACAAAAATATGTCATTCAAAATCGATTAAAGCCAGCATTAGCTTAGCCATTAATGTGATAGCGTACAATGAATAACTTTTTTCTTTTCATTCTATTTTACATGACATCTACTAACCACCATTCACTTGATTATACTAACAATAGTCTTTTATGTTAGTTCGTTTTGTTTCATTAACAAGCAGTAGTAGGTAACTATATTTTATCGATGTGAGATCGATCCATGAGAAAAAATACATGACAGAATCACAAATAACACTTTCGAATTAAGCTATCACATCTCCTTCAATTCAGCGCACAGCTTAAACAAGAATCAATATATTATGACCATTTTATAGTGAAAAAAAAGTAAATTAATATCCACACTTTAATAAACACGGTTTGAAAACAATCATACAACTTTGTTGTCATTTTTAAGTCACTCATGCAATGATATCCTAATAAACCATAAATATATTCTTCTGATTCAACAACAATGGTGTTTTCATTAGTAACATTTACGATTTTGCCAATTGTTCATTCCTCTGAATAAGTTCATTCACACCATCTAGAATATTTCCCTCGATTTGATTATTGTTCAGATTGAGTTTGGCGAGTGTCTGTGTGAAAAAAAAATGTACATGTTTTTACGAAATAGTTGAAGAGAGAATAATATTTACTATATTATTTCTTAATGAACCAGCAAGATGTTGAGCCCCTTTCTCTCCGATGTAATTGTATTCGACGTGAAGTGTGATGAGTGTCTATGTGGAAAAATGAAAATATATGTAAGATAGTTGAAGAGAAAATGAGATTTACTATGTTGTTTCTTAATAAATCAGCAAGATGTTGTGCTCCCATGTCTCCGATTTGATTGCACTCAAGATCAAGTATGGTCAGTGCCTGTGTGAAAAAATGTAAATATGTTTATGAGATAGTTGAAGAGTGAATGAGATTTACTGTATTGTTTCTTAATGAATCAGCAAGGTACTGTGCTCCCATGTCTCCGATTTGATTGCACTCAAGATCAAGTGTGGTCAGTGCCTATGTGAAAAAATGTAAATATGTTTATGAGATAGTTGAAGAGTGAATGAGATTTACTGTATTATTTCTTAATGCATCAGCAAGGTACTGTGCTCCCTTCTCTCCAATATAATTGCATGCGAGTTGAAGTGTGGTGAGTGTCTGTGTGAAAAATTGCAAATGTTTGTATGAGATAGTTGTAGATAAATGAGATTTACTATGTTGTTCTTCAATGAATCAGCAAGATGTTGTGCTACCTTCTGTCCGATTCGATTGTTTGGTAGATGAAGTGCTGTAAGTGTCTGTGTTAAAAAGTGTGAATGCATATTTGAGATAGATAAAGAGAAAATGAGATTTACTGAGTTATTTCGTATTGAATCAACAAGATGTTGTACTTCCTTCTCTGCGATTTGATTATAACCAACACAAAGTGTGGTGAGTGCCTGTGTGAAAAAATGTAAATATTTGCATGAGATAGTTGAAGAAAAAAAAAATTTACTGTATTGTTTCTCAACGAGCCAGTAAGGTGCTGGGCTTCTTTGCCTCCGATCTGATTGCTACAGGGATTAACCCCTTCACCGCTAAGTTTTTTTTTCAACTATTTAGTAAAATTTTTGCAATTTGACTTTTGTGAATTCATAGATAATTAAGGATAATAGAAGACGTTAGAGAACATATATTTTATTGTTTATATAGAAAATAGAAGTTATTTTTCAATAACAAAGCGTAAAAACTTTGTCCTAGAACAGTGTTTTCAATAAACTGATATTGATCTTATTTGATCTTTGCTTTTTTTATTACACAATTTTAAGAGCGAAGAACATAGTCTATATGAAATATCAAGATCCGTGGAGCTAGCTTCAGTAAGTGCAGGATGCTAGAGCAGGCTCATAGCACACAAAGAAAACAGAATTAAGGAATTACAGTAGTCATCTTTTCCATTAAATTGCTCTGACGAGTATACTCGTCGTTAACGGTGAAGGGGTTAAGTGTGGGTATGAATACGATTACTCTTTTCGTCGAGATTTACATCCATACTCACGCCTTCGGTGTCTAACTGACAGAGTAACAAATTCATTATTATTTATTACACGTTGGATGAAAGTAGACGATACTTGTTAATGTTGTATTAGAAATACATTGGAAGCACTAGAATACTTTAATATATGCGCTACCTTAAGATCCAAACGTCTCCTTTGACTTTTTATTTTCATTCTTCTCTGATAATCCCATATCTGAGCGAAAGCATATTGCAATTGTATCGAAATAATTATTAGGGAAAAAGAAAGAGAAGCAATGTTGGTTTGTAAAAGATTACTTAGTATTATAACTGACTAGCTTTTCGTTAATACTTTTAACTTGATAAAGTATTTTGTCTTCTGATGAATTCGTCGACTGATAATTACATATTGAAACTACATAGAAGACTTACATGGTAGCGCGGATAAGAGTTAAGGATTTGGTTGAATCGTTGGCAGACATTTTGCATTGAGCAAAATAAAGTAAAATCGGCTTCATGGTCCAGAATTCGATAAACGAGCTCTACTGGTAGTGTAAGAAATGTGCACATAGTTTTGGTAGATTTTGATGAAATGTGTTAAAATATGTGATGTGATGTTGCTTTTATAGCATGTGTTATTGAAAGTAATTTTGTATGCTTTGTTAACAGTATTTAAAGAGAGAATGATACAATTAGGGGTGTAAGCTGATCGATTAGGCCGCCGCGGATAGGCAAAAAATTATATATTTTCGAGCTGCCGCCGCCGCCGCTAACGTCTATGCAAGTGAAAATCGAGTTTTCGTTCTTTTTTATTGATCTTTATTTAACTTGCAATATTGTTAATGATTCTCTGCTAATGTTAATTTGATTTTTGCATTTTGTGTCATACATAGAATATGAAAGAATCAAACTGTTGCTGTCTATACGTTTTTTGAACAGATTATGACTGACATATTGAAACAAAGATATTTTCAATTTGGAAAAAAATATCTTTTTATCAATTTCTCAACCGCCACCGACAATGAGTGAAAAGATAATACATAATGTAGATGAGTATTTGTTTTTAGTCTTGTTTTTATGATCAAAAGTGTCTGAACAAGAACATATAGTTAACTTTTTCACCAGTATTTTTTAACCTGACTTCATGATCCATTCGATTAAGAAAGATTGAAGGTGTACGTAAATGTGTATTGTTTTAATTACAACCACATTCTATAGATCATAAACAATCCAGACTGGTTCCATCTACTGGCTCAACTAAGTCTATGACTGGATCTAATGTTTTGACCTATTCTTAGGCTCAGTAAATGCTAAGATGTCTCTGTAAGAGTCCATCAAAGTCTATTATAGTTTGCCAAGGCTACACAAAGTTTAATTGAATCTTTCTGAGTCCTGTAGAGTTTACCAGAATGTTGCTGAGTCTGCTTTGATCTACTAAAGTTTACAAAGATCTGTTATGGCCCTGTACAATTCTTCTGGTTCACTTAGGATTCATTAGAATTAAGAAAGGTTTGGCTAAATCCTTCAGAGTTCATAGTTTCACTCTCACGTCAATCGATTGCAGTTAGGTCTTCCATTTTATTTGTGTTAACTAAAAAAATTTATAAATGAATTCTGTACGCTCTCATAATAGAACTATGCTATTTATTTGATTTATTCTTGCACAATATTAACCCATATTATCACAGTCAAAATAATTCCCCAAGAATATATTTTAATAATAATGTTAATATCAATTACATTGACTATCTTTATATTAATTATGGTTGTATGAGATTCTCAGATACATGAAGAAGCATTAGATTATTGTAATAAATCGTGGGATAACGCAGATAGTTCGAGACAAATTTGTCTTGCAATGAATTTGATGGTAGTTCTGCATGTTTTAGTCATAGTGGTGGATCTCATTCAATTCAAAAAAAAGAGGATAATACACGGTGTCAAGTATCGCTAGTTTTATATATGATTGTAATACTAAAGGCAGTGAAAACTTACCCAATGGTTATACACGTGTAACACTTTATATGACATAGATGAAAAATATCATCAGATAAATTATGATTAAAATACGATTTTTTTTTAAATCAGAATGTCAAGTTTTTTATTTTTCTTGAAGATGTAAATATTAGTTGAAAGTAATCTTATTATTTGAAATATAAGAAACTGAAACTAATATTCTACACCCCCGAAAACACAGATTTTTGTGCATTTGTTAATTATCTTTTGAATAGCTAGAGAAGATTTTAATATTTAGTGTTAGGAAAGTAGGCCACAGTTGTTTCAATAAAAATAGTTTAGCGTTTTTGTATGAAACTTGGAAGAATTTTAGTTAGATTAGATTGTAATTTTGAAAGTAGAACACCGGTCTTCTAGTCATTATATCTATTAGATTTACTTTTTAGTGATTTATTTCATTTATTTTTTTTCCTGCTTAGAAGATAAATAAATTAAGAGAATGCTGATTATTAAAACAAAAGCAAAAGTGTAAAGTACAAAAGCATTGAAATATTTACGAGAATATTAATATCATCGAGCAGTATTAATAGTTATGGTTCTTCCTATGTTTCGATTGTAAATTATGACACTAACTCTGTTCGTTGGTCGCGTCCGCTGAATGAAATTCTTGATTTTTCTTATCAATTCAGGTTGTGTAGTAAGACATACCATTGGTAAGAAAAGTGGAACAAAATAGGGAGCGAATTGCATTGTCTCTAGTTGATTAATCATAAATAATGGTTGTGTAGTCATTTCAATAAATAATGTGATTACCAAAGGTAACCAAAATCCCATATAGAGTGATGAAACAATCCATAATTGTAACATCATTTTCAAATGACGTCGCCAATTAATTACTCGTTGTCGAGACATCTTCTGATAGAGAACTCGAATAATTAACGTTACATTTGCTAACATAATGATTAGAATAGGAAAGAGAATATTAAATATAAAATCAAATTTATGTAAAATCTTGTTTTCAGCATAACATGGAAAACCACAAAGAGGTAAATTAAAAATCCATACATTTGTGCAAAATGGATGAATTACAACTAAGAAAAGAAAAAATAATGGTGCCCACATTAAACTGAATGCAATGGGAATAAAATGAAAGATCCATTTTTTCCATCGTACTTGAAATATTGTATGTTCATGAAAAATAAGTAAATGTCGTTCAATAGAAATCCATGCCATTAGATATAATCCAATAGTACTTAGAGAGAATTCACACCATGTCCACCATACACAATACGCATTTGTTGATGGCCAAATATAGTTCAGGTAATAATAACTCATTGGCATAGGTAAATTCAAAATCAATTGCAAGAAAGTATTAGTTAGAAGGATAATCCATCCATGATTTTTCACTTCTGATCGAGCAGGACGATTGAAAATAAAATAAATAAAAATGATTATCGATAAAATAATTGCTGGAATTTCAAAAATAACCATTACAATAAACTTACTCTGCCGTGCCATCATTAAAATAGAAAATCTAATAAGTGAAGTGGCACGTCGTTTTCTAAATCCTCTTTATTATAGAACGACGAGAAAAAAAAATGTTGTCGACACTTCTTTGAAGTTTATTTCTATATATTCTTGAATATTAATAACTTTTTTTTCTTCACTCTAACGCATCTATTTTTATCTTTTACTATTTCGATAATTAATTTTTTTCTTTCATTCGCTTCTAGTTATTTCTTATTTAGACATATAATTTTTATTAAAACTTCTTTGTGTATTTCACATCTTTTATTTATGGAACTGACAGTATTATATTAATTTTCTTTCTCTTTTAGTTATTTATCTATTGTAGAAATTGAATTTCTCTCTATTTATATATTATTTACGTATGATTTCTTTAATTGATATCATTGAAAAATAAACATTCATGTTCGATAGTATACAAACGAAATTAATTCTAACCAAGAATTTCTAAAGAGATGAGTTACTCATCAAGCTCAAAGTCTAATAAGCCATAGAATACTATACTGATCGTCCATAAAGACGACGGCTTTGTCAATGAATAATTAGCAGTGAAGCTACTCATGAAAGAGTGTTGGTGGAGAAAAGAAAATAACAATAACAGCTACCACATACTTACATTATCAAACACATCGACATCCACTCATACTCTCACTTGTATACTGCGACTCCATCGACACGCTCTGCATTATCCACATAATCATTCATTCACCTATTCTCTCATTATAACTAATCCATACAATATCGAAGCTTCCAAACATCTAAAACTGTCATTTTTAGAATGCAATTAAAGGATGGCGAGCGAGGAACAAAGAAACAACTAACGAGGGAACCTCACCAAGTGATACCCTCCGTTTGAGCTCATATTTTTCTCATAGATAGGGCTCATAGTGTAGATAAAAACCCTAAAAGGATTCGTGCCACTAGCTTGTTTCTATCGGGATATAGAGTTTTTAGTGAATTTTCCCTA